TAGGGAGCTGCAAATTTTAAAACATTTGGCATTTGGGCTACCCTAATATACATGTTTGAATATGAAATAGAGTGTTTCATTTGTATTTTTCGGCCGTTGATGCCGTCTGATTGTGCCATTTACCTTGATCAAATTCCAAATTAAATTGAACGTTTGACAAACATCATCAGCGAATTTCGAGTACCAAATTATTAATTCGGACTTCCGAATACAAATTCAAGAAATTCCTTATTTGGATTTTGATGTGCTTCATTTGTTAAATGAAAAAAAGAAGACTCTTTGTGTTACTACTCTTTGATCCCATAATAAATTAAGCCGTTGCGAATCGCAACACACGACTTCTTCTTCTCTTTAAGTCGTTTGTGAACAGCACTACATAGCTTAACGTACAGAATGTGTTGGCATAGCATCAGTATTCTCAGAAAGTGACTTTAAAGTCTTATCTCATAACATCTCACACGAATCGCCCGCAATTCGTCTGTCGAACATAATAGCACACATTTTATTGTTTCACTGTGCGTCCGCTTTCGTTTTGCTTTGTTTTGTTTCCATCACACACATGTATTGTATTTTTCTTGAAACCCATGCATATTGAGCCGTTTATTTGTTTCACTTGAACGCAAAGTCATTTAAGTTAAACATTGTTGCATGTTATTGTCTGACAGTCTTTCCGATCGAAAGTCGTAAAACAAATTTTACGACCAAAAATATGAATATTTTTAAACAACTCAAAATACGGGAATTTAGCTATTTATAATAATTAATTATAGCTACGTAATAAATGCTTGACTCTGCTTCTTTGTAAATTTTGCCGACAATTCCAGTTTTTTTTTTTTTGAAATAAATTGAAAGACACCGTCGATCCCAGAACGAATGTGTATGATGAAGTAAATACACAAGAGAAAGAGAGAGAAAGAGAGAGAGAGAGAGAGAGAGAGAGAGAGAGAATTAAAGCGATCGGCTTGAACAATACTCGTACGGGTACTGAGTTTTAATCTACTCATATGAATTCACATTGATAGCGACTGCCCATTTGCCGCCAAAAATGATATGTGTGATTTCATATGTGACTCCAATACACAGTGAATGTATCCACACAATATTTATATTTCGTACTTATTTGTGTGTAACACTGTAACATAGTTTATCACTCACACCATTCGACTCACAACACACATTCTCATTTTAAACTGTTCGACTCTTTGGTATGAGAATAATTAAAAACACCTATTCGACCATTTCTACTGTTTTATGTTCTCCCACTACGTTTCGACATAATCAAATACAAAATAGAATGTTCTATGCAGTCTGGTTGTGTTACTTACCTCGAACAAATCCCAATTTTAATTACATGCACGTTTGTTGCTCATCATCACCTTTAAAGTGTCAAATTTGTAATCGAAACTCCCGATTCGGATTCAAATACTATTAATTCTTTTAACCCACCATAAGCTGAGTCGTCGCGAGTTGCAACACACGATCCCTTATTCAATTAAAGTATTACGACTTCCATGCAAAGAATATTTTGAATTAAAAAACCAAAAGTTTTGATGCAGTCTTTGCAATTTTATTCAGTTGTGTTTTTCCAAACTTAAAATGAGAATTTCATTTGAATTAATTCTATATTTTTTCAAATTTAAGGCGAAAAATAAACTATTTTGAAACATGAAATTACAAAATTAATTCAGTCAATTTTGTGGTTTTTTTTACCTAAAATTAGTTCTGCGCTTTTTCTCAATAAGGAATGGGAAACGTTTTATTTTACAAATCTATTTATAGATTGATTTTTTTTTTGCTATTCCTATGGATGAATTAAATCTATTCAACAATTGTTCATTGACCTGCATTTTTCAATTTTGTTTTCTTCATTTGTTCAGAGGTTCAAATTTGAATTCTTTTTAATTCATTGGTTGAATTGCGACCAGTTTGGCAAATCTGGCTAAAGTGGCTATAGTAAATCGTGGTCGATGGAATAACCAACACCTGATGAGTATCATAGACTGCCTGCAATACACTTGACAAGATCAGTTTTCGACCACACAATGGTCGTTCGTTTACATTTTTTGTTTCGCTTAACCACCAATCCATCGTTTGTCATCCAAAAAGCGTGGATTTGATTTTGCTTCTGGGCTTTTTCGGCAAGTTTCCATAATTGGAAAAAGAATGGCGTTAATTCAGGTTTGATGAAAAGGTTTTTGGGTAGCATACCATTTTTGGAGGCATTACGCCAAGCAATCAAAATTTTCCGTTTCATTTCCCATGTAGTCAGCCGTACATTGATAGCACTCGAACGGCAATAAATTTTTTCGACATCGTCCACTGTCACCTCCGGTAGTCCCATTGCTTCACAAATAAGTAAAAATGTTTCACATAATCCTTTTTGAATGTATTGATCCATTCCAGAAATGTGCAGATCACAGCTTAAGAGTCGTTGTTTTGCTAGTTGCTTTGTGCGTAAGACTTTTTCCGGCGCCGATTCAGGCTGTTTGGCGGGAACAGTTGGCGATAGTGGTGTCGAATCATATGTTGTGCATTCTTCCAATTTCTTTTTCGCTAATCGTTCCTTAAACGGCCAAAATGCATTGCGATCGTCGAATGTCGAATTTAGCATATTGTGCTTGTATAACACTAGCCCAGTGTTGAATATGACCCGAGTTCTAAGAAAGTGTCGTTCCAATCGGCCCATTAGACCATTCGAATGTTTCAGTTTATCAACCGTCAATTTATGAGCGGAAGCTTCGTGCTGTGCCGTTTCATCGATGCTGAATGCCAAAAATGGGCACACTGAGCACTTGAACTGGAACGTATCTTGTTCAAGATGTTGCATGAATGAGATTTCACTGATGTTTTTTGTGGTATTGCAATGGCCACACATGAACGCTTCTACTTGATCTGATGAACCGATTTCTTCGTGCGAATGGGTTTGGGATGATTGTACGCTTAGGAGCTGGTCTATTTCATTTTGTGTGAAACAGATTGGACTGCTTATGAGCATATAGTGCATTGGTTCATGTTGCGTTTTGAAATGCACAACCATTTCGCTTAACGAAAATATTTTGTGACACAGTGCACACTTTGACCTATTTTCTATGTCAACCACCATGAATATTTCCAAATGGTGTTGGTGTTTGTGGTGGTCGCTGAGGTTCGAAAACACATCAATTTTATCACAAAAAAAGCAGGCCGCCTTTTTAAATGCAACGAATCGAAATGGTTTCAAAATATGGCTACTCCTCCAGTGCTCGTAGACCTCGGCGAATGTTTCAACGTAGAAATTCGATTGATTGTGGCAATAGAAACATGCATACACAATGTTCTTGTTGATGTTTGCACTGGGTTCTGAAAGCAAGGGAAGAAGCACTCTTATTAGTTGTTGCAATACTGGACCCATCGAGTTGATGTGGCCAAACATTTTGAATACAGAAGTGTGTACGCTTGTAAATGAATGATTCGCTAGAAAATTAGAATAGGAAAAAAAGAAACAATAATTACTCAATTGGATTAAACTTACCATTCAACTGTGTTTCTTCGGTTATTTTTTGTCGCTTGACCGCCTCGTCCGGAAAATTGATCGGGTATTGCCTCTTCAGTGGCTGAGGCTCAATTGGTGGCACGGAAGAACCGATGTTTGCTTGTTTCGTTGATGGCAATTCATTACCTTTGTTCATTTGCATAGGGTCCGTTGGTACATCTTCCATCTTAACAACACACTCGTTCGCTTCAGTTGGATTCAAAGTCATTGTCTTACACGTACTGTCGAGCGGTTCTTGTTTGATATTTTCAGCATTTATATCGAGAGTGCTACTTGGAGTTGAATAAGGCATATCAATTGGAGACAGCATCGTTCCCATCATTGGAAGATTTGATGTACTTGGTGAACATATTGATCGTTCATCCAACAGACTAGAGTCTAACAATGGTCGATTGATGTTTTTTCCGGAGACCATGGGCTGAGTTGCTTCAGCTTCAGCTTCTGTTCCACCAGATGCCGAATAACTGGATGAAACTATTTCCACTGATTTATCATCTTCACTTGATATGGATTCAATTTTGATATCATTTTCAACGATCTCAATCTCTTCACTCGACATGTCCGACTCCAAATGGTCATCGCTTTCTGTGGCTTCACGATTAAACCCATCTTTTGTGGTACTTTTCACGTTCTCACAAACCTCTGAACCTCTTTGAATGTCGAAAAATTCCACCGTTTGTTCCAAGCTGAAAAAGACATGGAAATCAGCATTTAGTGAACTGTCTGCATCAGTTAAAAAAAAATCATCTCCCAATAAATGTACCCCAATTGCTAGCAAACACTTGAAAACAAATTGCATCAATCCGGTTGACAGAATTACTATGAATAGCGTTGGGATTTTTCTCAGTGGAAACGAGCACTTACCGATTGTTTACGCTCTTCACAAAATAGCTCCGAATCCGATCATCAAATTCTTGCCCAGACTGCAATAACAACTGGTTCATGTTCTCTAAAGCGGTTGATGTTAGGGCCTCGAAATCCGCAAGGTAATTATTTAGAACGGGTCGCCAATTAGATGACATTTTCGGATATTTCTTTTCTGTATCAAAAGCAAACGCGATTTTTTTCTACTTTTTCGTATCGAAAAATTTTTATTTTCAAAAGAAATCAGTATTTTTTCACTATTTTTCTGTGTTTTTTTCTTTCTTCTGTGGGAAATGTCACAATTTCGTCTTCAATACTCGGCACAATTCAACTCAATATGAACTTAAAGCATGTACAATTTGCGTTGACATTTGATATGCTCGCGGCGTCGATTCTGCTGACAATGCATTGTATTTTTTTTTCTGAAGAAAACAAAATTGGTTCATAATTCAATGTGTTGAAAAAATATTCAGCTCAATTGCAAATTAGTTCAGTTTGTTTAGTCTTTTTTCTTTATTCAATCACTTTCCCAAAAGGTCCACAAACAATATAAAACTATTTGATTAAATTACGAAGTAATCTGATTAAATCAATTTTAGCTAAATGTATTTGCCCACAATATTTGGAAAAATTAGGTATTTAAACACTCCGACACTTTTTCTTAATTATTGATCTCCACCCTGGTTCGCCTTTTCAAGTGCATGTCCCGCTAAACACTGATGCTACGTTTTGAATTACATCATGCTACATCGAAATGAACGAAACCCTCAGAACCGTATGTCAATGGAGAAACAACAAGAAATCAGCACGTATTCTTCATTGACATCTCTCTATGCTTCAAAAATTGTGTTCCGTACTGTTTGTCGACGATGTTTATGATATTTTATTCTCTCACTCATGCACACACACACCACTCAATGCAGTGACCATACGAGCTGTGTTGTTTTTACCGCTCATACAACGAGTATGTCTGTATCGTCTTTTGTAGATTTTCTCTCTCATTCTATTTTCCAACTAAATTTCACTTGTGTCGCCTGTAACACATTCGTCAAACACTGTTCTTTTGTGTATCGTTGCATGCTTATGGGCTCATCGTTTAGGTAAATATTTTCTTCCTTCTCTTTTGAGTGTGTTCGCTTTCGATTTCAATACTTTTGTTTCCTTCCCGTACACGGCTTTAGTCTTTTTGTTTAACCGGTATGCATATTCAGACGTCGCATTGTTTCATTCGATCGTGAGTCCATTTCAATTTTACAATGTTGCATGCAAAATCTCTGGCTTGCATTTCAAACGAAAGTCATAATTTATGATCGAAAAAATATGACTATGACTAATGAATTCAACTGGCTCTAGTTTCGTGAATGCACATTCATTTTTATCGTGAACATGACACACGCACAGATATGTTCTGTATTTGAAATAATTGATTAATTATGCATTAATGCATGATTCAAAAGACGATTGAAAGTCCGACCGCGAATCGCACTAACTTGGTACTGTTATCAGTTTTTTTTGACTCTGTTGTGGTGTGCGCTTTGATGTAATATACGCGTCGAAAGAAATTGTTATGTCAAACACAGATAACAGCTCCAATAATTACCATTGGGAATATTCACGCAAAATGTTAGTGGAATAGTCTCAGAATGAGAATTAGCGCGTTGAGAACAAGAGAAACATAGAGTCAAAGAACACATCAAAGACATGCTGCGAAAGAATGCTTGATTTGTAATTTGTTTTATTGTAGTCAGGTCCTTTTTTATTTTACTGGATGAAAATTCGTTCTTGAAAATACTGTTGCTGTCGAAACGCCCTGCAATGGACAAAGCAGAAAAAAAACAAATATGTTTATCATTCACACTCGTTGTACTCGGTATAAATTTTTTGCGGAAGTCATGTCGTTTTAAAAAATTTGATTTTTCATTGGATTTAGTTTTTTTTCCCCTTCAGACGTCAATGTGTTTACAGGTGGTTTGATTTTGCGTTGATCAAAATGAAACAACTTCAATTTTTGGGTTTTCAAAGTTTTTATTAACACCGGTTATTCTTTCTCTAAAAACCACATTGATTTACTCTTTACTGCGTAACTGTTTGTTCTTGTTGATCGTTCCGACTCAAGAAAAAAGTGTAAAGTTAAGTCTTCCCTGTGAAAAAATGAGCTCTTTTGACATTGGAAAGGAGAATGCCAAAAGCGACATGACCATCAAAAGCTTACACATCTTGCGACTGTGCAAAAATGATAAAAAAAAATTGCTTTAACTTTGGCTCTAAACCACCTTTCTTGCTCCCACCGCCACCTTTCATTGCTCTCATATCGCAGATTCAACATGGGCGCAAAATTGAAATTCGTTTTCCACGAAAAATTGCTCATTGTCACTGTTGTCGCTGTCAATTTAGTCATAACTTCAACGAATTTGTGTCCAAATGGCACCACGGAATTTTCGTATTTCCAACGATGAATGGTCCAGAAAAACCGAAGAGTAGTGAAAATGAGTTCAAAAACGCTTAATACTGAAATGCCAATAAAAAGTCCAAGAAGTCCGCCACAATACGACAAGAAATCAATCATGGTGTACACTTCAATTTCTTTTCTTTCCACTTGAACAAGTTTGTATGTAAAAAACAGGAGTACAGATTCTTTACTACAATAAGACCAAATGGTGTTTGAATGTTGAATGTTTATTGCATTCTTGGCCAAATTTTTATGATTCAAATCTTCACGCATTCACCGTTCATCGTTCAAAAAGTTTGGAACAGTTACAGTCTGTTGTTGTTTGATACGTGCTTTGTACTCGATCGATACACATGCCGGTAAACAATTGCATTCACTGTGGAATGCCACAACACTTTTATCTGTTAAAAGTTTCTTTGCTGCTGCTTTCAGACATACAACACTAGCCCCACCACAGATCTTTGTTTTGTTGTCTCCTAAAAAAGAATTAAAAATCATTAGATCATTCATTATACTCTCATGAATTGAATTTTACACTCATACGAATGCTATACGGCCGGATTGATAGAAACATTGCCGTTGGCTTGGCGAATAGCTCTGCAGCCCATCTGAAGTAACGGTCAGTTCGGGTACAATCCGGATGTGAGTGTCGTCAAGAACACTAGTTCGCAAGTGATCAGATCTCCGCAATATTTCACCAGGCATACTCAAAGATACATGAAATCCAAAATTGAACGGATTGCATAAATCCTGATAGTTTCGTTTGTCAATTTTTAAACCAATTTCAAGTGCAGCACTTCGCCCAGCATCAAACATATGAAATGGGTATCTTTCGTCATTGGATTCATTTTCATATCCATTTTTCAAGCTCCAATGCGACACTTGTGGATTGCTTTTTAGGGTTATTGCTCCAGGAGCCATTCTGAAATAATAAATTACTTTCATATAGTGCCATTCAATTTATGGAGTCAATTATCCACCATAATCTGATAATGATGATCAAAAAAATCCCATGAAAATACAAATCATAACATTTAAAGAGACACGTCAACCTTTCACTCTAATGTAGCACGCGATTGGTGAAATATCGGAGGCTATGAATGTTGCTATTGCCGCAGTACTCTTTGGAAAACAGGCAAACTACGCGAACGAACGGGGCGATCCAATTTTTCTAGAAATATACCGAGTTTTCAATTTGAAAATTATATTTAATATTGCTTCTTTTTGTCTATAGCTTCAAACTTGACAAAATAAATTTTTTCGATTTCGAAAGAACTCTACTATTTTTTATGTTCTAGCAGGTACGAAACGAATTGGTGCCTCATTCTTGTTTTATCACTCATTCTAATATTTTTTGCAACTTACTACAGCTTTCATTTGCTCTTCAGATTTTGCTTTAAAACTACTGAGTTGTTCCATTATCACCTTCGGTGTTGCTTCACCACGAATTTCTATTGGCCGTACTTTCAATTCAATCAATATCTTTCTAATTTTTCAGTTCAACTTTTATATTTAAAAAAAAACTACTCTGATATTCATAATCATTCATCCATGATTCTAACTTTCAAATATTCCGATGAAACACAACGAATAGCTCAAATCACAACGTAATTCATTTGTTCCATGTTTGCGGTTCCATTTCGGTTATTATTTTAAGTAAAAATCTAAATTATGCCATCACATAAAAACGCTTCTACAGTTAATGTATCATACCGTGTCATAATGGATTTTTCACGTATAGTAATGCGCTTATTTAATGACTGACATAGTACGTTAATGCATTTAATTATTAACTCTCTTTTTTATAACTTATCAAAAATTCTTCTGGAATTCCAATGAATTGAGCGACCTTCTTTTTCAAGCAAATACGAAATAAATTGGTACCATAATCATAATGTTTTAATTGCCTCCAAAACTTATCTGTGTTCGGCTAACTTTGATGATGTAAATATGTGTTGCTTACCTCAAACTACTCAATTAGTTTTAGACAGACATTCCGTTTGGCTGAATATTGAGCTGAGCTATTTTCAAATAGCTGGCTGTTTGGTACATTTTGATTTTGTGACGAGCGAGCCATTCAAATTCATGTGGATAATTGAATTTGTGACACCTTTTTCAATCCTTTTCACGAATTTTTTGTATCATAAATTCAACATTCCACATGAATTTGCATGGCTCACTCGTCACAAAATCAAAATGAACCAAACAGCCAGCTATTTGAAAATATCTCAGCTCAATATGCAGCCAAATGGAATGTCTGGTTTTAGATTGACATTGAAAAATTCTATTACATCTTCAAATCACAAGGTAACAAGAGAGCTCTCTAAGTCAAGACGTTATCTTACTTTTTTTTTTTCTTCAATCAGCTGATACACTTTTTTATGTCTGATAGAAAATAGAAAACGATTTACGCAGTGGCTCTCCAGAGAATATTTTCAAAGAATACAATTTCAATAAATTTTTATTCAATTCTTTATTTTCAAAGTTCTCAGAACCTTTTTCTTCTTGCATAACTTTTGCTCGTTTATTCGGTTTAATGTTTTATTCAAAATTATTCAAAATACCATTTAATGGAACCGTACTTAAATGGCTATTTCAGTCACAATTGCATAAAATTTGAGTCGATTCAAATGTTCAACATAGAAAACTATTTGATACTTTCAATGAAGTTCATCAGGTCCACTTCCGACCATACAATGGTCGTTCTACTATTGTATTTAACTCTGAGTCCATCGACTGTAATCCAAAAAGAGTGAATTTGATGATTGTTCCTGGCTTTTTCGGCCAATTCCCAAAGTGACACAAAAAATGGTGTCAGTTCCGATTTCATGGATATTTTATCGGGCATGATTTCGGATTGCATCGAATTAAGCGATTTTAAATTAAATAATTTAACTCTTTCGGGAATATTACGCCAAGCATCTAAGATTTTTCTTTTCAATTCGCAATCAACCAGTTTCACAATGACAGCCATTGAGCGTCGATAAATCTGTTTGACATCGTTCTCCATTGAAACGTCCATCACACCAATTGCTCGGCATAAATGCTGAAATATTTCCTGTAATTCCGCGTCTTTAGCTCGTTCGAGTCCACCGATGCGTAGATTGTTGTATTTAGCTTGTTGTTTCTTCAGCTCCTTACTACGCGATTCATCGGTTGGGGTTTCCATCAGTTTCTTTTTCGCCAATTGCTCTCTGAACGGCCAAAATGCATTGCGATCGTCGAATATCGAATTTAGCATATTGTGCTTGTATAGCACTAGCCCATTATTGAATATGATCCGAGTTCTCAGAAAGTGTCGTTCCAAACGTTTCCTAAGACCATTCAATTGTTTCGATGTGTCAATGGGCAATTTATGAGCAGAAAGCTCATGTTGTGCCGTCTCTCGAACGCTGTTTCCCGAAAAAGAACACGCTGAGCACATGAATTGGAACTCATCCTGTTCGATGTGTTGCATGAACGAGATTTCGCTTATGTTTTTGGTAACTTGACATGTCCACAGATGAAGGCTTCAATCTGACCTGGTGCATCGATCAATTTGGATGAATTTATGCTCAAGAGCTGATCTATTTCACTTTGCGTGAAACAAACTGGACTGCTAATGTGCATGTAATGCGATGGACGATGTTGCGTTTTGAAATGCACCACCATTTCTGAAGCCGACAAAATCTTGTGGCACAGCCCACACTTCGATTTGTTTTCTCTGTCGACCACAACGAATACTTCAGTATTGTGATTGTGTTTGTGGTGTCCTTGTAGATTTGAAAACACATCAACTTGGTCGCAATAGAAACAAGTGGCCATTCGAACTGCAACGAATCGCAATGGCAGCTCAGCGTGGCTATTTTTCCAATGACTGTACACCTCAGCGAATTTTTTCACGTAAAAACACGGTTGATTGTGACAGTAGAAACAGGCAAACACGATGCTTGGACACGGTTCTGAAATCAGGAGAGGACAATCAGATGAGAAAAAAAAATTAGTTTATGGTGTCAAAATTGAGGAAATTGACGAATAGTCACCGAGACAACCTTACCATTCATTTGCAACACTTCAGTTGTTTTCTGTCGTTTGGTCAATTCATTTTCAACACTCATTGTGGGTTGTCTCTTTAGTAGCTGAGGTTCGACCGGCATAGAATGTTCAACCTGTGGCCCACTGCTGGATCGACTTGTTGACGGTAATTTGCTTCTGTTTGTCTTCATCACCGTCGTCGAATTCGATCGTACTTTCTCCACCTCGATACCACCGAGGTCTTTTTGTGCTTTCTCAAAAATCATTGCTTTGCAAGGCACTGCTTGAGGCTCTTGTTTGATATCCACTGCATTTATATCAGGAGTGCTACTTGGAGTTGAATCCGGCGTATCAATTGGAGACAACGTCGGTGCCATCATTGGTATATTCGATGTGCTCGGCGAACACATCGATCGTCGATCCGAGACACTTGAATCCAACGATGAACGATATACATTCCTCTCGTAGGTCATTTGCAGCGTTGTTTCGATTTCAACTTCACTTATTGGCGAATAGCTGGATGAAACATTTTCCACTTTTTCATCATCATCACTCGATATGGTTTCAAATTTAATCTCCTTTTCGATGATCTCAACCCCTTCGCTCGATACATCCGAGTCCACTTGTTCAATGCTTTCTTCGACTTTACACTTTGACTCAATTTTTATGGTACATTTCGCATTCTTGTCAGCTTGCGAACTGATTTGAATGTCAAAAAAGTCCAACGTTTGCTCTAATCTGTGGAATAAATGCATGGTGATTAGTCATTTAGGAAGAAAAAAAAATCGAAAATATTGTAAATCTCGATTGAGACTCTAAACTAGGCAAAATGTTCCAATTTGCTACTAATATTTGCTTGGAAAATGAAGTTGAACAAAGAGAAGTACTTAAAGCAAAGAGAACAACTGGATAGAAAAAATGCAGTAAATTAACAGAAAACATCAGAATTGTATTTACCGACTGTTCACACTCTTTGCAAAATAACCCTTAATTTTGTCATCGAATTTTTGTCCAGATTGTGTCAACAGCTCGTTTATATTTTCTAAAGCAGTCGTCGTTTGAACCTCGAAATTTGCGAGGTATTTATTTAGCACGGGTCGCCAATTTGACGACATTTTTTCCCAAAGGTTTTTTCCTCAAATGTTTTTAACTCAAACCACACGAATCGAGTGGCAACGATTTATCGTTCAATTTGTCCGTTCTACGTAAAAAAAACTGAAGTTTATATTGAAGCCAGTCTCTTCTTCTTTTCCGTTCTTTCCCGTTCTTGAAAGAATAGCTCGGTTTTTTGTTCGCTACACGACACTCTATTCGATATCATTTCACTCAATGAACTAAGCAAAAAGAGCGTTTTGGCTGAATGTTTTATACGGTAATGCCAACCATATTTAGTTACGGCACAAATCGTGTTGACGGCAAAACTAAAATATTTTTATGAAGCAACGCTCTACACGGTATGGCAATTTGCAAAAAAAAAGACCGAAAGTAATATCAAGCTTTTTGTGAATGATAATTTTCTAACCAAAATAAACGATAGTATGAAATCGAATGAAAAATCTAAATATTTTAATAAGTGCTTAAAACTTGTTGTTCACATTTTTCTCTAATACGTTTTTATCATGCGCTAAAAAAATGCCTCACATAAATCGTGTGCATTGTCAGCCGAATGCTAACACAGTGACAGCAATTATATCGTGTTACATTTGCACATGAAATTAATAAGAACCAACAGAACTATTTAATATGCACACAATTGAATGTTTTTTTTTCGGATTGAGTTTTTGGTGATATTTGTGGTTCCTTCTCTCGCTCACTCATTTGTAGTTTAATTGACAAACAGTTCCTCTGTAAAGAATAATACAGTGAGCATACGAAGTACACAATGTGTACATTTGTTGCTGTTGATTTTTATCTCACTCCATACCACCGTCCAAAATTCACTCACATCGCCCGCAACACGTTCATCGAACACACTCCGTTTACTTATCGTTAGTGACTTATCAACTCATCGATTGGCGCGTATTTTTTTCCTTTTCTTTTCACTGCGTTCGCTCTTGTTGTTACGTCTCTCTTTCGCTCAAAGTGTCGTACAAATGTACTCGTTCCCGCTTTTTTTCTCATTCCGAAAAGGCATGCATATTCAGCTGGCACATTGTTTTAATCGACCGCTATTTCTATTCGTTTTATTGTTGTATCCATGGCGCTTACGCACATGATTTGCTTTCAAAACAAGCGACGGTGATATTATTTTCAAAATGTTTGAGTTTGTATGAAACATTTTTGTATGTGGTCGTACTACAGCGCTGCAACACGTTCATATGATGCTTAGTACAGCGTGTTTGTACTGTGTTTTGAATAATGTCAAAGAGAGCGTCGATATTGAATCGAATTCGGGTAATGTCAAACAAACAATCGAAAGAAATTCATAAGTCCATTTTTCAGAGAGTCCATTTTCATTTATCTGCTGTAACAGCAGTGCTGGCGATGTTGTTCAAGAAAAGTTCCAAAAGGGCGAGAAAGACATAGCGAGAGAGAGAGAGAGAGAGAGAGAGAGATAGACCGGCACATAGAGAGAGAAAAAAAGTATGTCATCTACATTTATTCATTCGCTATATCTGCTTTAATTATGCGAGAAAAGAGCGGACATATTGGAGCTGTGTGTTTGTCATTTTAGCACCAATACATAGGCCACATTAATTTCCATACTAACAAATTCGACGAGAGAAATGGCAAAAACATTGCCATGTTCATTCTATGGTCTAAAAAAATCGCATTGGACAACCATTGATTGGAAAAAATATGCGGAGCAAAACTGACGCCGTGACCACTACACACACGTACATACATTTACAATGGGACGGCAATCTCGTACCAACATCCGTTGCAATGTTTTTTCTCCATAACACGTTCTTTTTTAATGAGCCCTTGGTAGTTAGTATGTTGGTACCCAAGTTGGTACAGGAAACACGTTTCAGTTTTGTTACAATTGGCCGACATTTTTCATTCAAAACACAACTCACAATCTTTATGTGAGAAAAAGTGATTCCAAATTTTAGTTCGGAACATATTTTAAGATCAAAGTTCAAAAAATTCAAATCAAATTCAGAAATTTGCAATAGTTTTGCGGGTAAAAATATAAAAGCAGTGCTATTTCTCACAAAAACTATACCGAAATGTGTGAGAAATCTGTGAATATTCTAATCAAGAACGAAACTTGTTGAATTCTCATATAAAATTTCATTCAATTCCTGTTGAAAAATAAAATTCTCGATAATTTATGAACGGAGCTACGAAAATTTTTGCTTTGATTCGTGTGAAAATTGCAAAACATCGTAAATTATTTCAAAAATCATATTTCTCCGAATTGTGTGCCTAAAATCAGAAAAAGTGTGAATTCAATGAAAAAATGATTATTTTCATCGCAAATATCACAAGATGTTTCCAGGCAAAAAGGCAAAATTGTGCAAAAAATTGAACATTGAGACACGGAATTAAATTTCAATTGAAGAAAAGTGCGAAATAAAAATGATTGCAAGTAGAAAATTGATGCCAGCGATCACTCCGATGACCACATCAAATCCAAAGCGGCGTTTGATCAAAGTAGTTCAACAATATGAAATTGAAGGAATGAGAAAAGTTCAGTGGTCGACCAAAATGTTCGAATTGATGTCAATAAATCAAAGAAGAGAGTGACGAAAGGGAATTACTTGAAGTCGAGTTAGTTTTCATTTGAAACCATGGCTCTGCCACAGTAAGATTTCATTATTCACTTTCAAAAATTCGACTCTGAAAAATATCTGAATTGTTCAAACACAAAAATTGTGCAACAGTGAAATTAACGACTTTTCCATTCGATTTCGGCCGAAAGCCCGAAAAACATCGATGTCACTGCTTCGGAATGTCAAAGAACATCGCTTGCGCTGTCACCTTTAAAATGAATACACCTTATCGATGTGTGCGTGAGGGTGAATGATAGGCGGTGAACGCGCGAGCTCCATTCGATTAGCAGCAGCAGCAGTATCAGCATCATTGCAAGTCAGTCAGCCGTCGAGGAGCGTTCGCAATTTATATCGACCAATTTGTTTTGTCTGTGATTCGTGTATCATACGAGTGTTTAATATTTGTATAAATTCTAATCGAAAATCGGTGATTTAAATCCAAATAAATTAGAATCATTTGTCTAAATAAAAAAGTGTTAAAATTTTGTGAAGGTCGATATACATTTTGGTAAGTGTTTATACATTGCAGTCATTGGCAACAGTGAATGTTACATTTTTTTCCTTTGATTCAATGATAATTTTTGTTTGTTGCGATCAAAATTTCATGTTATTTTGAAGTACATTACATTTTTTTCATGTTTATTGCGCATTTTTCTTCAAATTCATACTTTTAAAGGCAATTTTCCGAAAAATTCATAATTTTCTCATTGAATTTCACAACTCCATGCAATCTGTCAATGACTTGACACTCACGTGCGCAAATCCTTGTTGTATCATGTTTTGTTCCACCGACTCGTTGTTGTTGGTGTAACTCAGCCGAAACACACGAAGATTCCATCTCGAGCGATATTCACTGTTATGTTTGTTTTGCACCTTTCGCTCATTCTTCCATTCGAACAACGACAGCCGCTCTCTTCCTCAAAAACACAATGGAGTGAGTTTTTCAGTGATTTTTGTGTGGATTTCGATTGAGTTGATACACTCATCATGTTTATGCTTCGTTGCATTGTTTGCCATTGTACACGAGCTACTGCAGCCGAGAGCTAAGTCACACGCATCGAAAACGGTAAATTCCACCATTTTGTTGCTGTGGATGTTAATATGTGCGATTGATTCTGTTCCAAGTGATACAATTCCTTGAAATTTGTTCATGCATTTGTTGAGCTGGATTTATTTCACATTGGTTTAACTGAGGGTTTAACACAATGATATCATCTGTTTCGAAGGGAATTTCCATGAAAACTGCTGTCTTTACACATTTTTGCTTCACATTTCCTTGTTTAATTTTTGTCATATTTGCTTTGAGTTGCACAAATCAAGTGGCTGTGTCAGCATCAAAATGGACACGAGAGTTTGTTATTATCTGAAATTCTACTTCAGGATGTTTGATCGACCGATTTTTCAATTTTTTGCCGATTATTCAAATTGGCTTCGATCTTTTTGTTCTTTCTTCCTTTATTTCCTTACAATAAAGTACTTTATAAATCTTACAATAAAATTTATTTATGTTCCGTGTTTTTCCGACTTCTCTGATCAATGTTTGCCCTTTGTTGAGATCAATCCTTGAAAAACTATTCGAATGTTCACTATAAAATGCTACAAAAAATTTCCCATCGATTTCCCGCAGCGAAAATGGCCAAAAAACGAAAGATGTATAAGGGGCAGCAAGACATCGGTCCAAAAGGCCAGCTTCTCAGTGGCGGTGCAGTTCCTGGTACTGCTGGTGCTACTGGCCAGTCAACGGACGAAAACGATGAAGAAGCAATGGTCGTGGCCGAAACGTATGCAGAATATTGGCCAGCCAAGTTGGATTTCGGCAAAGCGCATCCGGACCCCGTGGTTGAAACGGCCTCTCTCTCATCAGTCGCTCCAACCGACATCACATACAAACTCGCGATCCCAGACAAAACCATCGAAGAAGGAAAATTGAGTGCATTACAATTGGAATCAATTATTTACGCATCTCAAGCACATGCTCAACTGTTACCAGATGAATCACGAGCTGGATTCTTGATCGGTAAGCGAAATCATCTGCAGAATTCAATTCAAATGTTCAAATCTTGAGATCAATTGATGATTTAAAATTGAAAGAGTTCTGTATCCCATTCTAATTGATTGATAATCTCTGTTTGATCTGTCTCATTTTCGAATGTTCATCGAAAATCGTTTTATTTGATGAATTTCAGGTGATGGTGCTGGGGTTGGCAAAGGCCGAACGGTAGCCGGCATTATTTTTGAAAGCTTTCAACTTGGTCGAAAGAAGGCCATTTGGGTATCAGTTTCAGCTGATTTGGTGGAAGATTCGAAGCGTGATTTGCGAGACATTGGTGCTGGCTTCATTCATGTCAATAATTTGAGCAAGGTAAATGAAAAATCGATTTTTTTCTGTTCAAAATTGAATTGGTAATATGATTTGTTTCTTGGCCTTGAGTCGGCATGTGAAATAAATGGAAAATGAATAAAAATATTGGCCGTTCGTTCAAATTTTAGTCAGAAATCGAATTGCTCTCGATTTCCATTGAAATGGTTCGGTTTCTTTCCCAACTCACTTGCACTCATCTCTTGTTTTTTATTTCAGCTTAAATATGACAACATCAATTCGAAGGCAAATGGTTACATCAAAGAGGGTGTAATTTTCAGTACATACTCATCATTGATTGCTGTTCAATCTGGAAAAAAGAAGAAGAGTCGTTTGGATCAACTGGTGCAATGGTTTGGCGACAATTTTGATGGTGTCATCATTTTCGATGAATGTCACAAAGCCAAGCACTTGGTCAACAAAAATGGCAAAAGTGGCACAAAAACCGGCATAGCGGTCGAAGAGCTGCAGGCAAAGCTTCCGAATGCCCGTGTTGTTTATGCATCGGCCACAGGTATGTTTGATTCGAACAACAGCCAGAAGTTTTTACATTTTTCATGCATCATGCATAATTCCGATGGATTCGTTGCAAAATATACAGTTTTAAATGGAAAAATTGTTTTCTCAATTGTTTCACATACACAAACTAGTTTAAATCGAAATCCTTGTTCCATTTTTCATCAAATCAACAGCTTTGTTCTGCATTTAGAATCGATCATTTTGTTAAAGTTCTTAAAATGAGATTCATTAAATTTCAAGGGAAAATGATTGAATTCAGTCTCTTAAGTGAATCTTTTTTAAAGAATAAAGAGAAAATTATAAATTTCCCCAAAGAACCATTTTAGCGAATTGATTGAAATTTTCGTTTAATTCGGTAGGAGCTTCTGAGCCGCGCAACATGGCCTACATGGTTCGACTAGGTCTATGGGGACAAGGAACGCCGTTCACAAACTTTGGCGAGTTTCTCACAGCGGTCGAAAAACGGTAAGAAATGGCAACAATTCAATTTTTTTCATGGAAGCAGTTCATTAGTTTTGAAGAACATTCAGCGTTAAAGCTAACGAATTGAATAACATTCTGAGAGGGACTTTGATTGTTTCAAGTTTTGAATAGAATTTTCTTGTTTGAGATTTCAGATTTTTTTTCTCTTTAATTTGCTTGTTAAAACGTTCAAGTTGAACGAGATTCTACCTAACTTTGTGAGATTAATTTAATCAATTGTTTTTCATTGCTTTCAGTGGCGTAGGTGCAATGGAAGTGGTAGCCATGGACATGAAATTGCGTGGCATGTACATCGCTCGGCAGCTCAGCTTCCAAGGCGTCACATTCCAAATCGAAGAGGTTCCATTCGACGAAGAATCGGAGCAAGTGTACAACGATTCAGTGGATTTGGTGAGTTTTTTTCTGGTCTTTTCTTTTGGTCACATTCAAAATGAGCATGACAGTTGGCACTTCGGTCAATTTTCATCTCATTCCATACCATTTTTGTCAACATGAAAAATTTGCCGTAATAAAAGTAGCGCATATTACAGCGGCGCTGTAACAGCGCTGAAGAGGTCAAGAGTCTTGATTTGTCTTCCGAGAAAAAAACCATGAAATTCTTTTTAACATTCAAAATCCAACATTTTTATGTTCAAGTTAATTTATTTATTGCATTTCAAATTTCGATTTTCTTTTTACTACAACAATTTTCATTTCTCTTTACGAAAACTCACAATTTTCAGTGGATGGAAGCGTACAACAATATGAAAGAAGCGATTGAATTGATGAAACCGGAAAAAACTGGTCCGCTATGGGGTCAGTTCTGGGGTGCGCACCAGCGATTCTTCAAGTACTTATGCATTGCATCAAAAGTCAAATATGCAGTGAAAGCCGCTCAAGATGCGGTCCAAGATGGCAAATGTGTAGTGATCGGACTTCAGTCGACGGGTGAAGCTCGTACTCTTGAAGAGCTCGACATGCGAGGTGGCGAAATAAAAACTTTTGTATCAACAGCCAAGTGAGTATATATTTCGTTCGCACTTCTTTCTGTGCAATTCCATTTTTCTTTGATTTTCCAACTTGTTCATCATCGCAATTTCACTCCACCTAATCGAATCGATACTGTCTGTTTTCAATAGAGCAGTTTTCAAGTCAATGATCCAAAAACAGTTGCCGGCTCCACGTCTGCTGATGAAAAAGCAAACGAAGGCGTCTGAGCCATCGAAGCCATTGCCTTCGAAGCGTAAGCGTTCAAGCACTTTGAAATCACGCGCATCAGTCCAGAAGCGACCACGCGAGGTAAATGGTGTTATCGATCTTGACTCAGACTCGGAAACGGAAATTGATGAACCAGAAGACGCATCAGATGAGAGCGACTTCTCAGGTAAGCACATTTTGAAACAGAACGGAACTGTTGTCAAGATATTTACTTCGAATATAGTTTTGCATCGCTCAGCGCTTGAATCTTACATAAAATGTTCACATTTCATTCCATTTGCAAGAACATTTGCCAATGTGTCAATTTTTCATTTTTCTATTGTTTCCGTTCATTTCTATTCTTTCTTTGTTTGTGAAGACAATGAAAATGATTCAGACGACAGTGAAAAGACCATTTTATTCGATCGCAGCGACACGGTTTTGAGCGATTTAGATGATTTTTTGGACGACGATTCCGATGATGGCTTCAATTTTAAGAAGAGCAAGAGGCAAAAGAAAGGCAAGGATGCGAATGAAAATGTTGACCCAAAGGAAGTGGAAACAAGTCCAGAGGACGAGGAAAAGAAACGGTTGAATGGCAAGCGAGCAGCTCAACTGAAAATGGATCTTCTCGATAAAATCGAAAAGCTCGGCGAACGTTTACCCACAAACACGTAAGTTGGATAACATTTTATTTTGAATCGATTCAATTTTTCGAAAAATCATGCAAGTCATTCGCTCTTCATGTTGCTTAACGTGTCATTAGTTTAGAAGAAATTCATTTTTTTCCTGCCAAATTTTAGCTTACAGTATTATTGAAAAAATTTCAGTTGCGTTAAGATTTTCTTCATTTTTCAACTTCTATCATTCTATTTGCTAAGAGTAAATTCCTGCCCTCTTCTCATTTTCTGACACTTTTCATGAATCCTCTCTCATGATTTTCCTCAACAGATTGGACAATCTGATCGATTTACTCGGCGGAACCAACAAAGTGGCCGAATTGACCGGCCGCAAAGGTCGTGTAGTGAAAACGGCAAAAGGTGTTCGATATGAATCACGTGGAGAGGACGATGTGTCTCTAGATAAACTGAACCTGGTCGAAAAGGATCGTTTCATGAATGGTGAAAAATTGATCGCAATCATCTCCGAAGCTGCATCGAACGGAATTTCGTTGCAAAGTGATCGTCGAGCAATAAATACGCGGCGTCGTGTACACATCACGCTCGAATTACCATGGTCGGCTGATCGAGCCATTCAACAATTTGGTCGTACACACCGTGCAAATCAAGTCAGTCCACCAGAGTATGTATCAACGCTTACATCCCGGTCGAGATTTACATTTTATTTGCAACCTTTTAGCTTCGGCTATTGAATAAATTCCAATTCTGCAATGATTTTTTTCATTTTTCAAGACCTTTCATTCCGAATCTTCTTTCTCATTTAAAAACATTTTTTCCATCAACTTTTTTCAAACCAAGGTACATTTTCCTCATCTCGGACCTGGCTGGTGAGCGCCGCTTTGCGGCATCGGTCGCAAAACGACTCGAAAGTCTGGGCGCATTGACACACGGCGATCGACGTGCCACAGCCGACACTCGTGATTTATCCCAGTTCAATGTCGAGAATAAGTATGGTAAAGCAGCTCTACGCACCGTTTATAAGACCATTAACGGTCATAGTGATGACACATCACTTGCACAGCCAGATGACTATAAAGGTGACTTCTTTGGTGATTTGTCAAATGCATTGGCTGGCGTTGGCTTGCTCGAAGACATCGAAGGCTCGTCAAAAATGCGGCGTATGAAGGACAGTGACAAAGGAGATATTGCGAAATTCTTGAATCGCATTCTGGGCTTGCGCGTCAAGCTACAAAATCAGCTTTTCAAATACTTCACCGATACCATGGAATTTAAGATCGAAGAGGCCAAAAAAGCCGGCGAATATGACATGGGCATCATGGGTAAGTGTCTATTTTTTCTGGTCTCATTCTTTTTTCAATTGAGAAAGGAAATTGATTCGAATGATTTTTCGTATACGCAACAAATACATTGTTAACATAGCACATACCTTGTTGCACATACCACCACATTTGAGTTGACCCTAAAAAATTGCTAAAGTCGCAATTTTTTCTTTTCCTCTTTTTGCTACTTGTCGCAGACATGGGAAATACCGATAACGTGAAGGTGCTCGACACAAAGGTATTTCATCGCAAACACGCCACTGGTGTCGCACCGATCGAGCTATATACCGTTGAAATTGACCGAGGTATCACGTACGATGAGGCCGTAAAAAAGTTAGTATTATAGCGAAATTTTTAAAGCGTAATCTCTCTCAACTGTTTCTTTGTATTGGAAATAAAATTGTTTGTGTGAGATGATCTTGACATCCAATTTATCCATTCCATTCAATCCAAATAATTCATTTGACGAAAAGTTGCCCCCCTTCCAATTAGAAAGATTCGTTTCTAATCCGCCACTTGGTTTTCTTCTAGATGCGCCGAATCGACAGACAACAATGAAGGTTTCTACATGCAAACCATGGGCTCACGCCAACTCGCAATGATTGCGATGTATTCCAAAAGCCAAAAAGCGGCCCGTGGTGCAATGCAAGTTTACCGGCCGAATGTTGGCATGTGCACACCCCTTGTGAGTTTGACTGACATGAAGAGCAAGCACAACAAAGTGACCCCGAATCAAGCCGAAAAGTATTGGAACCATCAATACAATGCGTCGGAAAAGATGTGCGTGCACATGTACTGGTATGGAACATGCAAAAACAGCACAGCAGGCTTTTTATGTGACGTAAGTTTCTAACCGTTTTGACTTTATTTTAAAGAAGAAAGAACAAGCAATTGAAAAAAAATTGATTTGTTTCCAAGTGTTGCGAAAAATTTTCTTTCTATTAAAATTTGGTTTTATTCCACTTATTCAGTGAAAAATATTATTTTACCACAAATGCTTCTTTTATATCTGTTGAACAAACCCAAATTTTCTAACATGTTCTTTTTTCTCTTCGCGCTAGATTGGTTTGCGTAAACGTGAATATTACCTGATCGCTGGGTCAATTTTTGCGGTTTGGCAACGCATCGAACACCAAATCAAAGCAAAATCACGAGCCTCCGTGACGCCAAAATTGCAAGTAGTCCGCATGAAAACGGCTGGTGGGCGAAAGATCGTTGGTATTTTGGTGCCAAAAACTGTGGTGAGTCACATCATCGATGACCTTGAAACAGACTCAGTTCCAGCTCCATCCAGCTCTCCCAACGATCAAATCGATTTGGTTCTAACCGACGAAGAAAGCGACTCACTCGATGAATAATTGATTTATTCCCATCATTTCATTTCCAACGACACATTTGTTTACGTAGTGTTTTTAAACATTGAATCAATCACACAATCGAATTGCATTTTTTTTCATATTATCATTGAATTTTCCATTTATTTTTTCATCTTTTTTCATAATACTTACTCATTCTTTTGTAAGAGAAACGTTCAAATTAGTGAAAAATATTGAAGATTAAGTTAGATATTGAACATTAACGACTGAATTTGTAGAAGAAATGCCTTATTTTGAAAGAAATCTCCAATTGTGAGGAAAAAAACAAACGTCTAACTATGACAGAATTATTAACGAACCATCGTTTTTGAACCCGACAAAACTGGATAAATAAAAAGATTTTGAAGTTGAAAATTCGGCAGTGTTTTTAAGTAGAATTTAATTTGAATTAAGACTAATGAGGTCATTTTCAATTTCGATTTTTCTATTCAAAGGTTTTGTGTTTAAGGAACTTCGCATTGGTAAGGCAATAGTTTTTTTTCTCATTATTTTCGATCTGTCAGAATGATAATGCAATTGTTTTTGGAGAAATGTCAATGTTTATTCATCTTTTTTTTGGCGTGGCAAAAACTGAAGGATAAATTCGTTTCATTCACTTCTTATTTTCTATCGGCATCAGTATTAACTTCAGAATTGTACGTAGAACAATCCCACAGGAGATCTATTTCTATATTGTGTGGTTGATAACGTAGATGTTAATTTTTTTTTTAGCGAAATGTCACTCAAGTGAGCAACAATTGTTGCTTATCATCATTACTCAAGCCTTTTCTATGTAAGAGTTTTAGCAAAACTGTTTTGATAACGAAGAATGAAGGCCGTTGTGAAACCACTCGATGTGAAGAGGACTTATATAAAGAAATATTTTTCCATTTTGTTATTAAAAAATTGAGATATGATGTACAGTAGAATTCTACTGTGTTTTGGTCTGATTAAAAATGTCTGTGAATAGAATCAGTTGAAAAAAAATCCCAAATTCTTCTATTTTTATTGTGATAGCGAGACGTTCTACAATTAACTTTTTTCCGAAGAGGTTATTCACATTAATGATTTGAATTAAAGAGAAATAACGTATCGTTTTCTGAATTAGTCGCATGTGGTCTGTTGAAAAAATATGAATTCAATTTTCAAATCTAGACCAAATTTTGTAATCTGGAACGATTTCTTCGGTTAAAAGAAATACTTATTGCGACGTTTGAGGAAAAACATATGTTTTCCTTTCCCATCGCTAAAGTTATTTCTTACCAGTTTGTGTGTCAGGTCTTTTGAAAAAAAGTTTATAGGTATGTTCTAACCGAACCATGTTTTCATTCCATTCTTTCATTTTAGCTAGAAAACATATCAATGAAAAAAGTGTTTGTAAATTTCACCAATTTTGGATTGGATTGGTGGAGTAGTAGTACCGAATTTAACTGTAAAATATTTGGCAGATAAAACAATTTTTTGATTTCTAGAGTTTGAACTAGTATTTCGATCAATTTTCCAATGAAAATGCTAGCTTCAGAAAAAATGGAATAAAATTTATTTCACAAACATACAACCGGCAACACAAAAACAAAAACGAAAAATTTATTTCGCTCAATATAGTGAAGTCAATGAATCCAAACTAATTTAAATAAAATACTCACTCAGACAAATAACTCCCATTCGAACAATGTGAATTAATTAAATAAGAAATCAGCCTCATCTGTCTACTGATCTCATCGTAGTTACAGATTATCAGTAGACCAGTCGATAATCTCAAATTCAGATCGTGAAAAGCACAGGTAATTGCATGCATAATTAATTTTTTTTTATTTATCACCCAAGAACCATATTACAAAAATAAATCGAAAAAAAATGTTCAGCCAGAAATAATACAATGAACGGTTTCAATGTGTGTAGTGTGCGTGTAAATTTATATTGTTCATTTTCGCCATGATTTTGCATCAAACTGTTTCTGTATTGTTAAGGAAGCGATTTCTTCACCAAAGGTATATTTAGTGTGTATAAAACGTTGTTGGATGTAGCGGTGTCCGCCGTATAATTTGTTCTTATTTCATTTTAGTTCTGTGAAACCAACCCGATCATTTTCTCTATCAAAAATGATCGTCGCTTTATTGAATATTAGAGTACCCAACAAAAACACCGAATCATATCCGTTATCACTAAGCGCAATTTGGCATTCATCCTGGAATTTAAAAAAAAACATCGCAATGCGAATGATTGGAACAATATTCATAAAATGGTGGCTGTTTTTACTCAACTTACAAAATACTTCCATGAGTAGGTTTCCATAGGAAATGTGACTTTGGCACCATCATTACTGAAATAAAAGAGTGAAAGAGAGGTAACGTATGGCATTTCTTGTCACATGTTTCTCCAATTTTAACATATAATTTCAATTTACCCGAAATAAAACTCAATGTTTGGCAAATTTTTTTCTTGCCATTTGTCACAATCCACTTGTTGGTGATACCCTTTCTTAAACAGTCCCATATTTGCAGCAATCGGTTTGAAAAATTGGCTCGGAATAGCTAAGATTCAAAGGAAAATAGTTTTTTTTATAATCAATGATTCTATTTTTAAAATGTTAATCTCAGGCCCGTAACCAGAAATGAATTCTTTAGTTGTATAATGAACATGAGCCAGAGCGGTGCTTGGTAGTGTTGAGCAAGTTTTTTTCTTAAAACACAAAATCCCTTGTTTGTTTGTTTCACCTCTTTTCCTTCGTTTCTGTACTCAACACTATCAAGCACCGAAACGGGTCCGATTATTCAACATTTCATTACCAAGTTGATCTCCAGCTCCGGTGTCTAGTACCGTTTCAAATTTTGGCTCAATACTAAGCAATTCAGTATTGTTAGTACGATCGCGTAGTATAATTTTGGTTAAATTCACTCTCCAACCACTCAATTGGTTATTTCTCACTAAGACCGGTGCCCAAGCATCAGCCTCCACATCACAACCACCGACTATAAATTCACTCTTTGCTTCTTTTTTTAGCCGTAACTTTACGCATCCAATCCGTTGTTTGACTTGACCTTGTTCTACTAAACGATCAATCCATGTCAAAGTGTCAAGTTCAGAAAACGCAGGGTATGAAAAGCCTATCACGCCGTCGTTTCCCTCAACGCTTAAAGACGAATTTGCTAGGCCAAATGGCTGATTTTTGGCTATCAGACCTCCTATCTTTCATTGAAATATAAACACAATAATCAGTTTTTGGATTGAAACTCACACAGAAGTAAAAAAGAAAGAAAATCAATTCGAATCACCGAAACTGTATCCAATCCAATGGTACCGCTAGTTGAACCACCTTTATAGCCAAAAAAGAAATCACCGGGGCCTTTTTGATATGTTGACGATGCACTTTCGTCAAAGAAATGTTCAGCATCCTCTATAATGATAATAATGATATCGAACTCAGTATTGAAATAATAATTTTCAATTGCTTTCTGTGCACTGATTACGTACTACACATCTGTCTGCAGTCAGGATTGTTTTTAGCTTCCTTCCATGGTACCCACAAGTCCACGGAGCCGCTGTCCAACATCTGGATTTTTTTTTGATAAGATAAGTATTGAATTATATTGTAACAGCTCTTGTAAATTGTACTCCTTTTCCAGTCGATGAATCAACTACAAATTTACATACTACGTTGAACGTTTGCGGAGGGGTTCCAATCTCAACTGGGAAGCCGTATCTCACCTTAAATATGCATGAAAATACGAAATGATTTTTATAGAGACACTCATAGCTGTAATATATTTGGTTTCATGAGACTCACATCTCTCACACTATTCACGTTGATTTTTGTTAATCCATTTTCATCAGCAGCACGTCGCTTTCGTGGTGCTAGTGGCGTTAGTGGAAGTCTAAGGAACAGATACGCGTAAGAATATCGATATTAACTTTATTCGACAAAATTGGACACACAAGTAGTTCACCTTATGAAATCATTGGAGTCTCTCTCTGGACCATCGAATGATAATGCAACGGTGCTGCTTAACGCACAAGCGAACGATAAGAAAACGACCACAAATCTATTCATTTTTCGAAGAAGTACAACAAATAGAGTAAAACGAACTGCCCAGTTTAGTTTGCACAACTAAATTCACCAATTTTCCATCGATAACTGAAAGAAAATCGAAGCAAATTCAAGCTTATATTCAAACTAATTCATTGTTTCATTTCTATTTGCGTACTTTTTTGAATTTCTTGCATCATCTCCAGGTGCATTATCAATCAATTTGGCTAGCGATACTAGGGTTAACACGAAATTTTTTTTTCTCATCCCATTAAAATTCCATGTTTATGCAAAGAATAACAAGAAGTTTTGATGCTTACATTTCCGTCATTTTCGCTTTGATTCGCTCAATTGCTGGGCGTTGCAAATAGGCATTCAATTGCTTTCTACTTAACACAGACGTCTGTTAAGTGACTCAAAGTAAATTATAATTGTGAATAATTTTCTACGAATCTTTATTATATTCTCAATCCGCAATTTTTATCGAGACTTTTTTTAACTGTAATATTTCGTTTTTTTTGAAGAAACAATTTACAGTTTCATTGGAAAAATTGGTTATTTTTTGTACCTGATTCAAATTACCATGGATTAATTAAAGAATAATTAAGAGCAGCCCATTGAAAAAAAAACTTGAAATTTACGGGAGATTTCGAGGTATTTATTGCACAATTTGCAATAGACAAAACGCCGTGAACCATCAGCTTGCTGAACACTAAAAGAATGGATGTAATTTGCGTATTTCGGATCATAATCTGGCTCATCGATTTTTCCCAGGGAAATATTTGGGAGCTGTGAAGTAGTCGGTTCTACTTGCGATGTAGATGGTTTAATATCTTGCGCAGTGGGCGGATCTACATCCATTTCACTATCACCTATGTTTTTATTTCAATTAATTAAACTCGAATAAACCAACCAACACTGACATAAATATTAATTTTAGCTAACTTCAACTTACGGCTTTCATTAGAAACACCAACTTGACTTGGAAAGAATGTAATGTTTTGTGTTTTTTCGGCGGAATCCCACTTTAATTTGATTTTTCCATTGTGTATTACTAATTGTCTCTTCGAATCGGAGTTGCGAAATGATCGATAGCGACAGTAAGTTTTGCAATTGCACATGACCGAGTATGCCATATTTGCTCCGATTGCACATTTGAATCTTTAAGTCGTGTTTGTTCTTGATTTTGTTCTGTTTTGCGGTGTCATCAATAATGATCAACAGTTGTGTAATGTGTATACAATTGTTTTATCAGAATAAACTCAAACAAGAGCGAAATTAATTGAACGGTTGGGTTCAAAAACCAAAACAAAAGCTATACGTTTTTGCATGGACATGTTACATTTAAGAAAAGTTCGACAATACATATGTATTGTTCTTCAACTCAGACTTTCAATTTAATCTTTCTAATATAAACAAATTCATCATTCGTGGTTTTCTGTGAAGAAATAATACAGAAATATTGATTTTTTTTAACAGCCCGATTTGGTTTTTAGGGCAGCCTATTCAAGATTTAGAGTAGCCCAAAACGGCAAGAGCAGCCCATTAAATTAATCCATGCAAATTACCTATTATCATCCTATTTCAGACGAATACATTTTCTTTAGATTGGATAAAACACCCAGAAAGGCCGCTAAATCTGCACAATATTTCAAAGTAAAACATCGTGTTGAATCAAATCTGTTATTTCTAATATGAATGGTTTGGAGCGAAAATGTAATACAGAAAAGTTGAGCGGAAAAATGTCGATGATGAATGAGCGGAAAAGGTATAGCTATATAGTAAACTGTATAGTAAACTATAGTGAACTAAGCGCGCTTTGCTTTGCAAATATTGCGGTTGATGTCCGTTGCTGCAGATTTTTCTTCAAAAATATTTCAAAACGTAAGAAAATTGTGTATTAATCAAGCTACGCATTTTGAAACATTCTTATGTAGTTATGTAGTGAGTTTTCTTATAATTTTTTTTGAATAACGAAGAATTGAGCCTGTCGTTAAATCTGTGAAATTATTTCAAAACAATATTGTATAATTGTCTTTTCGATGCAATTTTATTGCATTTCAAAATTTTGCATTAAGACACTATTTTTATTGGTTGATGACAATAGAAGCGGCATCGCAGAAACGATCTTCACGGAGTGCACTAATAAATGTGTTTTCGGAAAAAACGCAACACGCATGTTGACGATTCATGAATCATCACTTAATTTTCACGAAAGCTCCAATTACATGTTACATATTTTGAGAAAAAAAAAACTTAGACACATAATGCAAATTGATTAAACATGAAATTAACCTTAATTGTCTACTGATCTAATCGTAGCAATACTAGACTATCTCCGCTTTATTGAAGGATAAATGTTTGGTAGATATAAAACAATATTCATATTTTCAGCGTTTAAAATAGTTTTTGTTCTTTTCGACTTCAGAAAAATGGAATAATAAATTCATTTTGCTGAATTTAGTGCAAATTCGAAGCACAATGCATTCAAGCTAAAAACAAAATACTCAGACAAATACCTCCCATTCAAACAATGCGAATTAATTAGACATGAAGCCAATCTCATCTGTCTACTGATCTCGTCGTAGCTATAGACTCTGTTTGTTTCTGCATCACTAGACCAGTCGATGATCTCAAATTGAGATTATGAAAAGCCCAACTAACTGCATGCATAAATAAAATTTTATTCATTTATTACCCAAGAACAAATCGAAATAAATTTCAACCAGATATAATACAAAGAATTGTTACAATGTGTGTAGTGTGTGTTTAAAGCTAACTATATTGTTCATTTTCGCCGCAATTCTTGCATTTCTGCGTTTCTGTATTAAGGGGGCGATTTCCTCATTAAAAAGTTGATTTAGTATGTTTAAAACATTATTAAATGTAACGGTGCTGGTCATCTTATCTCATTAATTATTTATTTTGGAATCCAATCTGATCATTTTCCCTATCAAAAATGACCGTCACTGTATTAAATAATAGAGTACCGAACAAAAAAAACACCATCTTCGTTATCATTGAACGCAATTTGGCATTCATCCTGGAAAGATAAAAAAAATCGTAATAGAAATGATTGAAACAATATCCATTATGGTGGCTGTTTGCACTCAACTTACAAAACACTTTTTTACCTCATCTCCAGGTGCATTTTCGATCAATTTGGCTAGCGACACTAGGATAAATATAAATATTTTTTTTCTCATCCCATTAAAATTTCATAATTATGCAAAGAATAACAAACAGTTTTGATGCTTACATTTCCGTCATTTTTGCAAATAAGTATTCAATTGCTTTCTGTTTAACACAGGTTTTTCAAGTGACTCAAAGTTTATTATTATAAAATAGTACTTAAATTTCGAAGAATTTTATTATTCTCTATCCATAATTTTCTAGACATTATTTCGACTGCAATATTTCGTTTTCTTTCTGTTAAGAATGTTATCTAAAACGTTCTATATCAGAAAAACTGGAATTACAATCGAATTGAGCTATTTCTGGAGATTATTATACGAATTGAATATAACATTTTGACGTCAACGTAAAACAACACAAGTTGAGCCAATGCCAATGTTTGCGTGAACATATACAACTCTATGTGACAAAGTAGTGAAACATGAAACACTACATAAATCATTGAATCATGTTGTTTTTCATTTACTAAAAAGTCTACTAATTTAGTAGTACTAAACATAGTTTATAAACTTTTTTGAAGAAAAAGCTGTGGCAACAAATAACACGCTACATAGGCAAAGCTGTGCGTGCACAGTGTAGACACGTCTGTGTTATAGGTAACTCCGATACAATGCAAACGTTCATATGCAAGCATCTGTTCGAATAGTACAGCACACATCAGAACTAACGGATTTGGCACGACTCGCCGTATTGTGCATTGACCCCAAAATGTTATATTCAATTTTTTTTGTGGGATAATAGCCAACTACCTTTGATTCCAGCGATTTTTACCTTAATCCACCTTTTTCACTATTTATTAACAAAAATCCATAGAAAATTAATTACAATTAAAATTATAATTTACTTTGAGTCACTTAACAGACGTCTGTGTTAAGTAGAAAGCAATTGAATGTCCATTTGCAACGCTGGGCTTAGAGCATTCGCAGGGTCGGGGTGGAGTCATGTTTCGTAGAACTGGTAAAAGCAATGAAATCTAACAGCTGTATGATGACGACGTGAATGCAATCCAAAACCTGTACGAAAATTGGGAACTAACAGAATGGAATTACTAAAGGTCATTCATGCACCATTATAATGAGACAAGTGCTAACGTTTTTGAAGAATGACCGCAAAAAAAATTATTTAAGTAATGTTTTACCCTTTTAATAATTTCTTACTATGGACATAAACATAGTTGATGTAATGATATTGGATTCAAATACAATAAGAGCAATAACATTTTCATTGACAAAATACCTATTTTATTCGAAAATGATCGCATACATTCACAAGTAAATTTCAATAGCTAATATGACAAAATAATTTGGACATTGTTCAAGTTATCAATTCCATTAAACTAAAGAAGAATAATTTCCATATTATAAAGTGGTTTGCGTTTATGATGCATGTGTTTTGCCAATGAGTGTTAACAAAGGATTATTTGTAATTACCCTGAAAAGAAAAATAGTATAAAATCGATTAAATATCCATAAAATCTAATAAAATCACTTTTCACACAACAAACCTGGGGCGGTGGCGAAAACCCTGGAGCCATATTGTTGATGTGGGGATATGGTAGTCTCGATGACGGTGTTGGCTGAAACCCGTAACTTTGATATGGTGGCGGATTATTCGAATTTAGGTTGCTTGCATTTGGCAATGTTGGCAATTGGCCAGTGCTGAAACCAGATTGAGGCGCCGATAGTGTAGAATATGGTAAAACATTTGGTACTGGTTGTGCAAACCCAGGTTGAGGCATTTGATAGGGTGGATTGTTTTGATTTGGATTAGGTGGATAGGGCGTTTGGTTCGTATTTGGGTATGGTGGCATGCCCGAGCTCTGCAAAAGAAAAATCGAAGGGCTGTAACAGTGATTTGATCGGCACATGAGCACCATTTCTACTGATTGCCATTATTGCAATGTAAATATATACAGTGTCTACTACTTCTTCTTCATATTCTCAACATAAATTACATACGACTTATGGTAACTCTCCGTAATCATTAGAGGTGGCGCTACTTATGCGCATCAAATGACTTTTGCATTAGCTCTTATGTACTGTGCGTGCCTTTTGAGAAAAATACAACTCAATTTCTTCTGTACCGTAACGAAAAAGTCTATTGACTTATGAGCGGTATAGTTTCTTATTTTGCGTTGAGGTACATTAGAAAAAAAAGCGGTACCATCTTTCAACCATACTACGGTACTATTCATTTCGAAAATCTTTTTCGTTTGAATGAAATCATATGGAAATCTCACAATTAATCAAAAAAAAAAAAACATTTGAAAGAATGCAAACCGTTGTCGCATTTTCGAATTGAAATTCAAAGCATATCGTCTAACTAAAGAAATTCAAAGCATATCGCATCAAATTGACAAAATTTTGCCAAAGAGCCACTTTATAAGTTGGAATCTCGCTTAAACTTGAACTCAATTATCTGATATTTGTTAAAAATGCTCTTACGAATTGATGATTCATCCAGGTGATTTATGCTCGAATATCGTGCTGAAAAAATTGTGAAGAAAACGAAAATTTATAGTGAAAACTGTTATAAAATATTTTCAAACAATTTCTTATTACGATCGGATAATGCAACTGGTATTAATGCTCAATCTAATAAAAGTTATAGCCCACTTTCTATGTATATTATTTTTGAAAAATCAAAAAAGAACTCAGGCGAACTCGCGACTGTTTCTAATCTACTGACTTATGTTTCAGTCAATGTCACACTCTTATACACATATAAATTATTCACAATCCGTATCTACATGAGATGAATACATGCACGAACAAATACTAAACCAGTTTGGCGTACATTCTTATGGCAAATATGTACTTTTTGGGTACGAATACATGAACAGTCGCAGAGGAACGTGTTTGAGAAACGGAAATGTTTCAATACTCTTGAGAATTAAAAAAATGACTCAATCACTTTGAACAATATCAACAGAAAGAAACTTAGCAAATGTATGATGCAATGAATGTCCAATATTCAACAGAAAAAATTTCGTAAGAATTCACATATAACCAAGACTATTTCCATACGAGCTTATCTTGGACAAAATTGATTTCTGAACAAAAAGATTGGAATGCGTCATAACATTTACCATTTCTTCCATGAAATGTGATAAACTATTTTTATATGGTGTTCTCAAATAAATCAAATGCACCGTCATTTGTCTGGATATTTTTCCCCCAAAATCTTTGTTTGAATCTATTGTGCTTCAAATGATTTGAAAAAATACCAATTTATCATTCCAAAATCTGTCAAAATACCACGGATAAGAAAGTATATGTCAAGTTCTTGGAAGAAAAATCATTTTACGACTAAAATAAATTGTTATCTGAGAACTACCGGACGAAAACGATATTGTATTGTGATTTTAAACGCAGAGGATGTGTGTCATTTCCAGAATGAACGTCATTTCATTTGCGTATTTCGATGTTTCTTTTACATTTCACGTGGGCGAAAGACTATGCTATAAATATGTCTTGAGTTGAGCCTTGTGTACTTCAGTTTGTTCAGTCCTTTCATTAAGTTCAGTTTCAATTTAAAGAGCTCACATTGTGGCCCTATTTTGCCGTAAAATTTAATATTAAAAAAAGAACAGAATTTTTCCTCAGTTTTCTGTTCCAAATGTTTTTTTGGATTGAGTAAAAATTGTTGAAAATTTCAAGTGTGTAAAAACGAATACGATGCCACTGCGCAAGTGTATTTACCGATTGAACTTATTGAGTATCTTCATTTTGGTGGGATTACAACTGCTGACTTCGAAAAGCAATGTTCATGGTGATGATGATCAAGAAGGATTTCGATGTGACAATATAACCAAAGATCAAATTGTAAGCAAATAGAAATTCCACAAAGGAAACCAAATATCATTAGCTTATGACCGTTTGAACGATCATCCATTTTATATATTTTTATTTAAAAAAATATTCCAACTAACTAAAATTTCTGAAACAAAATCCAATGAATATTACGAAGTTGCACGTAAAAAACAACACAAAATTAACATTCGAAAAGTAATGAAAAACGATATGAACGTCATAAAAAACCATTTAAAAATGGTCAATTTTAACTCTTTAAAAAGACAATGTTTTGAATATACATATGAATTCGTCATGCGTTTAAAATGATAATGTGCTTTTATTTCCATTTTTTGTAGACAGATTATTTGTTCAAAAATTGTTATTTGAGGAGATCTGAGTTTGATGGTAAAGAGACAAAAGACAAAGACTTGAACAACGGCATTAAATTATTGCAAAAGGCTCATAATAAATCGCAAAGTGGTTTCTTAAACCCTGAGACATGTCAAGTGATTCAGAGAACTTTCATTGATCCATTGCCTGTTGAAAAGCTTAAAAACCGTTTTCGACGGTACGCATACAATGGCTACAAATGGGACAAAACCAGTCTAACTTATTGGTACTTTTTTTTTCTCGCATAGTCCGATGCGGTTTTTTTAGAGTGCACAAAGGCTGAACAAGTACCGTGCGAAAGCTGAGGTCGCTCTGAATTCAGAATAAGTTATTATTTTAGATTCGAAACTCATTTTGGAATGTTATGCCGATCGCCGTTTTGACATTTAGTGGGAATGAAATTCTTGATGTGGCTCAATTTTCCATGTATTACTAGACTTTTAATAAGGCTCTTTTCACTCCTTACAACTGACAACTTCGGAAATATTTATTTCGTAATTTTAGAGCGAATAACTACCAATAAAACTGGATTTTGTCGTCCAAAATTCGAGAAATTTCACAACAATTACATTCATTTCATAACTATGAAGGCACATTGCTTAGCCAGCCAAATTAAAAGAATCGGGATGATTTTGAAAATTGAACACAAAATGACGCATGCGATTTTAATATTATTAAAAAAATATTCTTCAATTTTCGTTTCGAAAAATGTGTTTAAGGCTTAAATTGGCGTTTCCTCCGGGCGATCCTCGTAACCAGGCTATAAAACGAATACTAAAGAGAGCGTTGTCTTCGTGGTCAGATGTATCGCCATTCAAATTTCGAAAAAATCCCTACTTCTGGGCAGCGGACATTAAGATTAAATTCGCGAGGTGAGGACCATTTTCGGTTCATGGCGATTGATTCATCATCAATACTAATATATTTGCTTTCATATTTAGAGGAGATCATGGTGATGGATCTCCTTTTGATGGTCCAAAAGGTGTATTGGCTCATGCATTCCCGCCAAAAGAACATAGATACGCTAAGAAACAAATAGCGTACATACATATTGATTTGGATGAGGACTGGAACTTTGAAGAGAGATTCTACAAAAGTGAGTTGCTTTTTTTCAACTAAAATTATAGTTTTGGCCCAACGACAGACATAGACATTGCCATTGAGAAATAGGATGGATCGATTCTTAAATCTATGAATATGAATCAATACAAGTACTTGGTACACGGCTTCAAAGTTAGATTGGAGTTCGTCAGATTTTTCAGGACTTTTAGTCATTTTACAGTGTCAACAAATTCATGCTATCTTGACCAATGGAAAGTGTTAAGTGAGACACTCAGAGTCGACCCCATATTTTGTTGGATAGAAAAAAAAATGCTACAAATTCGTCCCAGGTCATCCCGGGTCTGGTATTTGACCCAACCGTAGAACAAAAGTTGTTTGTATTGAGGATCTATTTGGAACAAGGCATTTCCCATATATGACCTACATCTAATTTAACGATATATTGCTTATGCAATATGCAATCAAATACATAGCTCAAAAATCATTATAGCCCATATAAACGCTGAACAGCGTTTCACAGAGTTTGGCAGACTCAGTCACAGAGATGCAAACACCGCATACGCGCGAACGGTACTGCACATAGATGTGCTGTTTCACTCAAACGCACACTGTATATGAATCTCTGTGACTGAGTCTGTCAAACTGTGTGAAACTCTGTGCAGCGTTCATATGGGAGTGCATGGTTCTAATAGTTCCTTCTTTCCAATCTACTATACCCTTCAATATGAATTCATTATAACGGTGAATTATTATTAAGATTTACAATAAAAATCGAAAAATCATGCTTTTTACCTATTTTGACCAGATCGCACGAATCTGTTGAATGTAATAGCACATGAGGTATGCCCCCACCACAGCTTAAATATTTCAGTGTACATTAGAACAATCATAATTCAAATTTTTTTATACAATTTGCACATTTTAGATCGGCCATGCGTTGGGCTTAGATCATTCAGAGTCTGGGGGAGGAATTATGTTTCGTAAATCCAATAAATATGTCGAACAGTTGTGTGAAGACGACGTGATGGCAATCCAACGCCTGTACGGTGAGAACCTGAGTGCAACCCAAATCCTGAAAGAAGATTGGAATCTAACGCAGTGGAAACGCTAATGTCATTCATGCACCGTTAAAATGAGACAAATGCTAACGCTTTTGAAGAATGACCGAAAAAAAATTGAATGATTTCCTATCCTTTTTTATGTCCACAGTAAATGTAATGGTATTGGATGCAAATACAAATTGAGCGATAATATTTTAATATTTAGTGTACTTTTCTATGTAGGAACAATTTTTTTTTCGAGTAATCGGCTATCGAAAAAGTGCTCCAAAATGGGAATACTCAAATTTTGGTCAAAAAACGTATTTCCCACAAATCAAATTTTTTTTCGAATTATGAATGGGTCCAATTGATTGTAGATAAATTGTAGAATTCAAATCAATTGTCTGTTTTCGAATATGTCGTCCCATTCGTTCGATATCGATATATGTCATGGAAATTGGTCCAAAATTGATAAACAATTACATAGGGGAATGTACCTGGTTGTAAGACACTCATTTTTTGCATTGCAAGCATATATTTGATGTTTTAATAATGAAATATGGTCGTTTGGGTTCGAATAAATATGTGTGGTCGGAATTATTGACGTTTTTGGTGATTATCAAATCAATATTTGCATTTTCCATCAAGTTAAAGGGACTGAAGTCAGCTTTCCAGTACGTCGTGACACTTTAGTCTGGACGGTCAAAGCTTCATATGATCAAGGAAAAAAGTAATTAGAGAAAGTTCAGTTGACTTTTATGTACCATGAGAATGAAAACTTATGGTTGGTATATTGGACAAAGTTGTTCAGTTCGACGACACGCACATTTTCAAATCGAGCTCGACACACCAACTTCGTATTTTGCTTAAAAATGGACCTTTTTCCATTGGTTCATTTTTACCCTCAAATCGAGCTCGGCGTCACAGAAGTTGTCCTATGGCCAAAGTCCCAGCACAATTTGTTTCATCTCGACGAGCTCTACAATAATCACTAGGGCCGTTTTCAAAATCAGTAAAAACAAATTCTCGCTGACTCCTAATGTGCATGACCTGCGAATCGAATATTTATAAAGATAACGGCTAACTTTAATTCTTAATTCGTTATGTAAGCAACCTTTCATCATATTTTATCTCTAGAATTAAACAAATAATCATAAAATGTTGATTTTTAATGGGTTTTTCTTCGACTTTGTTTTCTTCATTTTCACAGTTCACAAAGCAATATTGAGAAAAGAGTTTTGTTTTTTTCTTGACATTTTCAGAGCTCAGTTCTTGAACTAGATTTTTATCAAAGCCCTTGAGTTTGATAAGAAAAAGAGTTGGACCCACGGCCAACAGATAGCATTTTGACAACAAAAATAACAAAAATTTCAAATGCATATGACCCAAGCCGTTTATCGTTCGATAAGATGTGGAGAATCATCCAATTTCGTTCGTAGAATCTACGAACATGTTCGTTCGTTCGTTCGTTCGTTCGTAGGTAAAATTTCATTTTTTTTTCAAACATAAATTTTTCTTATTTCTTAAAAAAATATAGGAATGATCCTATAATTTCCATTTAAAAAAATGAATGTTATTTAAACAGCCCAAAATAAGAGAAGGCGATATTAACGGAGCAATTCAAATGCGAAAAGCAAAATCCATTCGAATTCCTATATTTTTTTAAGAAATAAGAAAAATTTATGTTTGAAAAAAAAATGAAATTTTACCTACGAACGAACGAACGAACAAACGAACATGTTCGCAGATTCTACGAACGAATGAACGAACGAACGAACATGTTCGTAGATTCTACGAACGAACGAACGAACGAACGAACATGTTCTTAGATTCTACGAACGAACGAACAAACGAACATGTTCGCAGATTCTACGAACGAATGAACGAACGAACGAACGAACGAACGAACGAACATGTTCTTAGATTCTAAGAACGAACGAACAAACGAACATGTTCGCATACGAACGAACGAACGAGCGCACGTTGACCGCTCTGACGTTTGGATACCACTTTCAAAATACAATTGATCGCTCGAGATAATTCAAATTATCTCGATAACCAAGCGTCAGCCGAGATGACCAGCTATCTCATTTTGTTGCCTGTTTTTTTCGCTCTTTTTCGAAATTCACATGTGTCAATGCATTTTCTTACGAGGTTGGTGGAAAAAATGAGCCTTGTAAATTTTTTAGCGCGATCGGATAACGTTTTTCTGTGGTACATCGGATCCAAAGTTTTGAGCTTGGGTCCAAGAAAAATCGAGGTGGTTTTTGGTCTTCATGTTTGGACGGAATTTCTTTGAACCTTCACTTCAATCAATTGCCGGTTCACGCCAAACAAATTGACATATCCTGGCCATACAGCTCTTAAATTCATCGTAAAGCCACCTAGAATAAGATTAGGGGACAAACATAAACAAATCTGATTGATTTAAGTCATTTTGATTGGCGCAAAGTGTTAGAATGTAGACGGAATGCCCATTTTATGGCATTGATTTTCTACAAAAAGTGGTATAATTTTGGTTAGAAGCATAATATCAGGTAAGGTGCGTTATTACGAACGTTGTTCATGAAAATATCGTCGCTAATGTGCCATTAATGCGGTGAACATCAAAACTGGAACACAATTAAGTGCAAGCATTCGAAATGGATTTGATGCGCGAGTCGCGTGAATCGTGATTGCTCTCTGTTTTGCTTTAAAAAATGTATTCGCATGAAAATGTATTCGTGGCCGTACTCTGATAAAAGCCTATATAAACAATGTTATTATATTTGACAATATTTGACTCGATGTCAATGACGATGTGGCAGCGCCACCTATAGAGATTCCTTATTAAAATAAGTGGAACTATTGAGTGCGTGCACCATATCGCACGTAAATTTTCAATATGGCAGCGCCCATAGAATTGAAAAGTTAACCAATTTCGTAACCACAAATTATCGCTGTACGTTCGTGGCTTTGTTATTGTTGTTGTACACTCACTGCGCTGCGAATGTCTCGTATACACAATCTACAAGAATTCACGAAAATTCGTACGAATTCGTCTCAAGCGCTTGTGTTCTTACCCCCTAGTAGAAAAGTTACAAAACAAATGTATTAGAAATTTATTCTACAGTAAATATAAAGCAGGGAACATAAGTACAGATGAATTATATGAAGATTATTAAATTTAAACATATGATTAATGTGCACAGATTTTTATCACGAAAAACGAGGACGTTTTCTCGGTTAAGAAAAAAGGGGGAACGTTTTCAATTTTTGGAATTTCATGAATAATAGGGTGGGGTACTGAATTTTGATTATTATCATTCACTTTTTAGAAAGGACTGTCACAAGTTTTTCGAAGATCGAAAAATGTTTCAACAACATTTTATCGACTGTTTTGATTATCGAATGGATACATTTTTAATTTTATTCTTACTGCTTAGTGCTTAGACTGTCTTTGTTATTGCGAATGGCCTTAAAGAGAATTGCCATACATGACAAGAGAATTTTTGCAATTTTTTTTTGTCAAATAAATAATAATACTAAAATAATCGCAGAAAAAATCATGTGCTTATTTTCAAGGGCAGAAAAGAATTAAGGGCTATTAAATTTGAACGAGAATGATGAGCTATTTATTTTGAAAAAAAAAATTCAATTTAGTCTCTAATTTTCTCTCCTATTTTCAGTGTTTTTTAAATTAATTTTTGAAATTTATTCAACCGGTAAAAACGAGGACATTTTAACTAATTTCGAAAAACTCCGAGGACGCGAGGACAGCTATCAAAAACGAGGACTGTTCTCCTGAAACGAGAACCCATGTGCACATTACATATGATTGATCTCGAATTGAAAATAAATTTTCACAAAATTTTGAAGAAAATGTTAAAAGCAGATATTAAATTAGGTTTTAACAACAAACATCATGAATATGAAACTAGACAATCAAATAGACTGCGCAAAATTAAACCCAAAAATAATTGGGGAAAATATTCTATAATTAACGGAGGAGCTAATGCATATAATTCTATGCCATCGCTAATGAAAAAAATCCATAAAATGCAAATATTTAAAAATCAATTGAAAAAAATTATACTGGAAGAGCAATCAAAAAACTTGCAATTTAACAAATTAAAAAAACAAAAGACAGAAATATATGTATTTACAAGACAAAAAGAGTCACTACAAAATGTAAAAAAAAGAAATAATTAATAATATTTATTTGAGATGTAACTATTTAGTTTTTAAGGGCGTTCATGTGTGATACATTTGCCTTAATAAATAAATAAATAAAAATAAAATAAACCTGTAATAAATGAAACTTTGAAACGATTTTTCTTCAAAAATTAGGTGGATATAGACTCATAGTGGGTCAATGCAAGTGAGTTTTCCATGCCATAAATGTGATTTTGTATCAATCTTTCAATGGATCGATAGTTTTTTGAAGAAATGTCGATTTTAGACCAAATTTGTAGGGAAACTGGTGTTCAAATGTTCCGAGACTCATATTTTTTTGACGAAAAAATAGTGGTATTCCCAGATGAAAACATCGTAAAAGGACATTTTCGACAACTTTTGACATCATCGACATCACTGATAACAAATTTAGAAGTGCTCGTTCTCGATATAATGGGCTAACTTGACAAAAAGAATTTTGAGGTTGAATTACACTCGCCTCCTACTAAAATCTGAACTTCATGTGTGAACAGTTCATTTCAAAAGTTCAAAAAGTTACTACAGTGTTATAAGTACGAAAATTTTAAAAGTTAAAAAGAACAATGTTCGTATCTTTGCTCGTTTGTTTGTCATAACTTGAACGAAGTGGAAAAAAGGGGAAATAAGTGTAGATCGTTTTAAATTAAAGTCTAAAGCTTCACATCTCTACAGAGCAATCTTAAGAAGAAAGTTTTGTTTTTTTTTCATGACATTTTCAGAGCTCAGTTCTTAAACTAGATTTTCATCGAAGCTTTTGAGTTTGATGAGAAAAAGAGTTGGACCCACGGCCAACAGATGGCATTTTGACGACCAAAATAACGATAATTTCAAACGTGTATGACCTGAACCGTTTATCGCTTGATAAGATAGAGAATCGTCCAATTATAACTTAATCGTCAATCATATAAAGCGTGAGATGTAAATACAAAATTTTTGCTTATCATCGACGGTTTCTCCGAAGTTCATTATTTTTCGCCGCGTTTTATTTATAATTTTTAAACGCCACAATTATGCAATGTTTTTTGTACCCATGTTTGGTATCAAACAAACGTTTATTCTACGTTTGCGGCCTCGCTTCGCTTGGTTGGTAGCTCGCTCGCTCGCTTGCTAGCTAGTAGCTATTATCCTTTTCTTATTGATTTCGCGCTATGTTTTACTTGTTCCTTTTTTACCGTCCTATTTTAATTGAGAAAGGTGGAGATGAAATCAAGGAGCGAAGCGTAGCTCCCGAAAATGTCCCGAAAATATACCTATGTTACCTGTTGTCTCAAAAACTTTCCAACATCATATGGACTGTACGAATCTGGCAACTTATTTGGCCGCCAGACAGAAATTCACCATTATAATGTGTATATAGATTCTACGTAATGGTTTTGTCTGAATTTACCTTAAGCAACCAATAGACAGACCATTCCATGACGTTCCAATTTATCAAAAACTAAAATCATTTTTATTTGAATTCTTCTTCGATTAAAACAATACAAATGATCGATTTCTACATGCATTTCGAGTGACTTAATGTTAATGTAACAATGCTACATTGTAGTATGAAACATATAATCATGGTTTCGTTCCTTCATTGAAGAATATATTGACGATTGGGAGAATAAGTAATTAATTTAGCTAAGAATAGTAAATATTAAAGTTCTTAATAGTTAGATAATGAATACGTTATATCATTAAGTATTTGGTGGCTTGATCACAAGATACGGTCCCTGGCGTGTTTCCATCGAACATTCTGCACTCAATTGATCTTTTCAATTCTTTCGTTCGCCACTGGGTTTTCTGCATAGTTTTCGGATGTAATTTTCAGCGTCTTCCTTCTTTTGGTAATAGTCCAAAGGCAAGAGGGCACCATTTTCATTGTAATCATTGAATCCAAGAACATACGCGATCTAAATTATATAACAACAATCCACATTATTTCGATTGAACTATTTGGTTTTCTTACATAACATGCACAGCGTCGATGTTGTGTACTTACAGCAAAGAAAGAAGCCGTCGATAGATTAATATCTAGAAATTCAAAATGAAAATAAAAACTATGTTAACTTTGACTTAATTCAGTTTCTCAAATGATGTAACTTTAGCATAATTTCAATGACCGGAGCAAAGTGGAAATAATTTGTGACTTACCGTATTTATTATTAGGAGCGAAATCACTCGGGTCAGCATCAATCGTTATCCATTCTGTATCCCCAATAAAATGTATATCACCGCCGTTTTCCCATCTTAGTGGATACACACATGCAAACGATTTGATGTTGCCTTCATTCGTTGTAAAATTCAAAACGATTCCGTCTTCGTAGGCCGTGCAATTTTTGCTAATATGTAAAGAAACCCTCTTTTATTACATAGTCTATTGTTGTGGTCTAGTATTGTAAATACATACTCTCCAAATGCAATTTGAATATGAGCGTTTTCATTATCCATGTAAAAGAACGTCAAATTGGTTTTATTTGACCATTCTTTGAACGACTCGATGAGGGTGGCATTCTTTTCGTCGAACTTGAAGACAGATGTGTCGGGTCGAGTTTGATCTTTTTTGACAAGTCTAAATATTGAACAAAAATGTAAAGCAATTAGAATTATTGATTAATTAAACGCATACAAATACTATTGAAGATATAATCACTATGATCTGAAGCCGAGTGATCGCTTGAAAGGTTTGAGCCAATCATGAACCAGGGGCCGGTTTTTCAAAAAAAACTGTTCACGGTAACTCTGTTGTATAATTATTCACTACACACACGAAAAAAAGGTGTTGTTTCTTAGTATTACGGTCAATTTATGTTCTTTAGGAATATATGAAGGAAATGAAATTTAAAATCGATTTACAACTAAATAAGAAGGAATTTTGCTAAAAACATCGCTATTTTGACCAAAAACATTTTATCCATAGGAAATCGAATTATCAAAAAGAACATAAATTGACCGTCAGTGATTCTTTTTCTTGAATTTATACATAGTTTTTTCGCTACTACAAAGAATTTCTTTCGTTAAAAATATTCGTTGAAATTTGACCGGAAAAAAAATCGTTGTAGTGGTAAAAAAAACTATGGTAAGAGAAAATAAAACACTAATATTAGGAAACATAACTTTTTTTCCTTGTGTGTATTGGATTTTTCATTGATTGATTGGTTGAGAATTTTAATTTTATTGTACGTTTAAAAGCAAGTTCACAATTATTTGCCTCGCTATGTTTCAATTCAAATCGGATCAAGTAGTTTGAAGAATTGACCATATTCCACTTCTCACATCAACCATTGCTAATGATTTAAATATTGGTAATGAGTACATTTGCATAAATTGTAAATATAATAACGTGTACATTGATAACACGCTTAGCAACTACAATTGGAAAGTGAAAATGAATCATTTCAAACAAAGACATTGTAGAGAGCACCAAATTCTATTGTAATTCAATTAATTTCGGCAATATAGACAACCATTTGTTTCAAAAAAGCTAAATATACCCAATTTATATCTGTGAGAAGAAAGAGAAAGCAAACCAAAATCGTCGCTTATTTGAACATCATTGGCTTGATTACTGTATTCACTTAAGATAGCAGTGATTCACACATTTCAATTCATTCACTTAAGATAGCAGTGATTCATACATTTCATTTCATTCACTTAAGATAGCAGTGATTCATACATTTCAATTCATTCACATTGGAGTCACATATTGATACATTGTAGTGGAAAATAAAGTTCAACCTTTTCGAAAAACACGCCCTAGAGCATTCTTCGTTTTAAAAAGTGAAAAAATATTTAAAAAAAATCAAGTGAACATGCCTCCAGGTGAAGGAAGGGAGCCTTGTTCTATGTGTTCCAATTGCATTTGCTGAACATTGCGCCATACACAGCAATAGCACACTGATAATGAATAAAAATCTCACTGGATTTGACACAATTCCACACATTCTAAGCAAAATGTTCACGACGAATTTTTGGTTTGAAATCTAGTTGAATTTTCATTTTATTCTATTATCCATCCAAATGGTTGTTGATTGTTCGTGGATTTTACTTTCGAAGACTTCTATCACAAGATTTACCATGGAAATACTTTTCGAATTTTCAATCACGTAGTTTTGTATTCGAATTCACAAGGTGAATTCGTTGAATCCGTTAAAAACTCTTAAACAAAACTAAAAACTCTGTACTATGCACCCAATAATCGATTCTAGTTTAAGAGCCGTAAGTACACTGAATGATCAATGAAAATATGTCACCGTATTTATAGAGCTTTGAAACGAATCTGAGTGAGCAGCAAAATGATGTAAATCATACGCAACGTTATACATTCATGGTCATCACTACTACTACGTTAATGATTCATCAAAACACACCGAATATGTTTATGAATGAACCAGTGCCGAGTTAACCAAATTTGGTTCCCGAGGCAAAAATGATTTTGGTGCCCCTTGCAATTTTTTCCCGTTATATATACAAATAATTATTGATAAAATGAACGTACATATCGAATGCGAGCGGTAGCGAGCAAAATTCTTTTTAGAAATACCATTTTTGGGGCACCAAAAACATTTTTGAGCCCATTTTTGGCTGCGTGTTTTCTTTTTCAGATTATTAAAAAAAAAATCCCACACTGTCAAAACTTTTCAACATTTTTGTGTTGGTATTTCTGATAATATACGGAATTCACGATAATCCGTGAATTTCATAGTATATTACCGGATCTCCGTTAGAATACATACACACACAGCACGTCTGCGTTGACAGTTCAATTTTGACGGAGATCCGGTAATATAGTATGAAATTCACGGATTACCGTGAATTCCGTATATTACCAGAAATACCAACACAAAAATGTTGAAAAGTTTTGACAGTGCATGCTTGTGGTGCCCCCAAGAACGTGGTGCCCGAGGCAACTGCCTCATTTGCCATATGGCTAACTCGGCACTGGAATGAACCATATCAAAGGAGCGATTTTCTTGGTCATATTTGATGTTACACTTGCATTTACGAAGAGATTTTCTACGTCGTTTCTTGAAGTTTGTGTGAAATGCACACAAATGGGTTGGCCTTAAGGCATGAATTATTTTAATGGTCCGTTGTAAAAGTCAAATGGTCCGCTCTAAATCGAAAAATGGTCCGTAAGTCTTCATTAGTTTGATCATGTTTTGACCTTTTCTCAAGCAATTTTTCGAAATTTTATCTTTCAGAATGACTGAATTTAAACCATTTATTCCGAACACTTTATTTCCCATATAATTTCTTTAATTTTTCGAACACTTGGTAGAGAACGAGTTAAATTTCGACATATTGGTAGACAGCGAAATAGCAAACATATTTTGCTGATTATTGCAAATATTCTTATTGCAATATGTAATCAGCTATCATCGACTGCACACTTTCATGTGTTGATTGTTCGCTTTTTATGAATCTGCCGAACACCAGACTTGTTTATAAATCCTAAAATGTTCTTCTAAAAAACAGTAATTCTTGTTGTGGCGTTCTTATACGTTAAATAAGCAGAAAAACGTGTATCACTGTGTCCAGTACTAAATTCAACATGTCATCGTTTAGAACTCTTAAAACACTACACAAATACTAATTTGGCCATTTGTAAGACATGATGAAATTTTGGTCTCGTTGTTTTTGACAATCGAAACAAGCTTCACAATTCAAAAATCGGTCATCTTTGGCATATTGGCATTTCCAAAAGCCTTGAATTTATTTATTTGATTAATACATCATTCGAAAGCGACATTCTTCGAGCATCTAAGATGGGCCTACACTAGAGTGGCCCAAAAAAAAAGTTGTCCACAAAAAAAAAGTGCCGACCGGATTCGAAAAATATACCCCAAAAAAATAGGTTTTGTCTAAAAAAATCATATAGTCACCATATAAAATACCCTGCCAGTTTTTATATCAAAATTTTCATGATAGCGATTTCGGAAGCCAATTCATATCGCAACATTTCGACCTAAATCATTTTTCCAGCCAATTTTCGGCAAAAACCAATGATGGGGTTTTATTTGTCTCGTCAATATCTACAACTTTTACCAAGACATCAGCCCTTGAAAAGGCATCCTAGGCCAGTTACAGTGTAAAATGACCGAAAAAACGCCAATTTTTCGGCTTTTTTTGCATTTCTCGCTCTACTGGCCACCCAGGCGGTGGACTTTTGTTCGGTTTTCGACTTGTGTCGTGTAGCTAGAACCTGTACAAAAATTGTGGTACTTCTCAGATTGCGATTTGGATAAAATTCGGTGTCAATTGATTCACATATAAAAGACAAATTTCAGGTCAAAATGAGCAAATCACAAACATGAGCTTCGATTTGACAGATAAAAGCAAGCGATTTCTACCTCTACTGCCTTCGAACATCTAGTATGGTCCTTTACGAACATTTTGAGTACTTACATGACCAAATCGAGTGATGTTTTCACATATTTCTGGCCTCATATTCGATTTCAACTCCCAAAAAATCGACTTTTGACCAAAAAATCCTTAAGTATAGGCTTTTTAGGGA